CCCGCGCAAGCACTGCGGGAGCATCCCGGGGGTCCGGATGCTGCCGAAGAGCACGTACCTCTTCACTGTGCTCGTCATCCTCAGGATCAGCCTTCTGGTTCGTCAGGAGATCGAACAGAATGAGCGACCCTGGAAAGCAGGCGCAGGCAGACCCAGCATCAGCGACTCCGTGGGGAAACGCCCCGAGCCATCCCCTTCCTGGGACACAGGGGCAGTAACTCCCTGCTCCCACCATACGGCGACACTCACGGGACCCACAGGTGAACCCCCTTACCCAAACTGTGCCCCGCAATGGAGACTCCCCCTTTGAAGAGCGGGTTCCTCTGCAGGAAGAGCTGGTGGAGGCGGTTCATCTCGGACGCCACCGTGTCCACGATGGTCTGGCAGTAGGTGGGACTGTTGTAGAAGAAGACGTCCAGGATGGTGTCGTTGATGAAGTGACGCAGGCGATTGATGCTCGGCAGCGTGATTCGCTCCAGGTCGCTACGGGGGGAAAAGAGGGAATTGCAGTTAGGGGTGCCAGTGAACCCCTAACACATTCCTAAGGCAAAACAGAACTTCAGAGGAGGTTGTCACCGTCTCAAAGGACACAGTGTTGTAATCCACACCCTCGGCTCATGCCAAGACCCACGGCAGAGCACAGCTTGTGCTCCTGCACTCCAGGCAGGGGTAAGGAGCCTGGCCTTTCCTCCCCGGGAGCCAAACCAGCTCTCTCCCCTCCTAGGGCACTGCAGGGCAGCGCCTGAGTGCAGAAACAGGGTACGTGGTTCGCAGAGGCCTTTAGCAAGGTGTGGATGCCCACGGCCCCTCCTGACGTGACCAGGGAAGGGCAGAAGCCTCTCGTCTCCAGCTGGATGCTGAGCAGAGCAGGCACCCCGCAAAGCAGGGCTCAAAACAGGCGGCGGGGACGGGGTCTGGCAGGGAGGCACCTTACGGGACCCCGTCTGTCCCACCTGCTCACAGCCCCAAACGCTCACAGCTTTCCCTCTGCCTGCAGCAGCCAGTTGACGTGGGAGGAGGCTGGTTGTGCGCTTTGCCATCCCCACGGACACCGGAGGGGACGGCCGTCCGGGACACTCACACGTCCACGCCGGTGGAGTGGAGGGAGCTGTGCCAGTTCACAGGCAGGAACTCCACCCGGCCGATCTGCTGCTGCTCCTGGGCTTTCTTGAAGTGCGCTTGCAGCATGCTCAGGGAAACGTTCCTGAAGTCATTCACTGGAAAAAGAGTATGAGCTCACACCGAGATCCACCGGGCGACAGGGCAAGCCTGCTGCATCAACAACACTTAATACGATAAAAGAAAAGATCATTACCAGGGGAAATCCCACCAGGGTCTTTAATCTGCTGCTGCTACCCTAAGACCTTGAATCTTTAACTACAAGATCAGGGGAAAGCTCCACGTCCTGACGTGTGCGTGTACCGGATTGCGCTGTCCTGTCTGTACCCGGCCTCCTTCCCCCGGGGCAGGGCTTTAACGCGGCCGTCGGGGTAAGAAAGGTATTTTAGGGATGTAAAGACAAATCAGTCTGTTGTGAAGATGCATGTGTTAGAAAGGGAATCCTCAGGGAGGAGACGAGCTTGAAATCACTCAGTTCGGAGGGCGAAAAGGCTGATTTCCTTCGATTCAAATGGCCACCAGCCTTGGAAATAGTTTCATCCCATGAAGGTATGGAACAGACTGCATCAAAGAGAGGTGTGTTTTACAGGAACTAAAGACAGTCTGCTGTGAAAAATCTCAGCTCCCTTGATTTCGACAAGTTAAATCACGCCGGGCTTCCAGGCAGTTTCACTGATCGCCTCTCCCACGGAACTGAAGCGCGCTGAGCGAATCCTAACGATCAGACCAGAGCGGCTCGGTCCAGTCCCCTGACCCTCCCCGAGCGTGCAAGACCAGCGCAGGGGAGTGCGTAAGATCAGTGAGACCTCTCGCACCGCTCCTAACCTCCAGGCATCTGCAGCTTGGAGACTTCCTGAGCCAGAAGCAGCATCCCTCTTTCTGGTCCAAAATCACTCCAGAGGCTGCTGGATGGGGCGCTGCCCGTCAGACGTCACCCAGCGAGATTAACCCGCAGCAACAGACTGAGCAGGTT